CAAAAAGTAAAATAAATAGTTTTTAAAGGAAATAGAAATTCTCAGTATAGAAATAGAATATTAATAAAATAAGCAAATGTTATGTTCATAAAAGAGGAATATGTCAACTAAAATTTTATCTTATTGTAAACGATAGCATGAAGTGAAGAGAAGAAATTAAAAACTTGAAAAAACATAATAAAAATCACCAATTTTAGCAAAAGAGAGAATATAGATTTAAGAATAGCAAAAACTCTCAGTAGCCTGCTTGTTCATAACAAATGGTATAACATCCATCTTTTCATAAACCAAAAGAGTAACAGGAAATGGCCCAGGCTGGAAGAGTAGTTGAAAAAACAATGATTGACTTTTATATTAATATGAAGAAAATGAGAAAAAGAACTCAGAACAGCTTCATGACAAAACCATCACAAGGTAAGAATAAAAATGCCAGTCTGATAAAAGGTGTGTACAATGAACTCACAGATAGAAATGACAAAATTATTTTTCAGAAAAATGGAACACTTGACCCTCCAGTGTCAGCAATAAGAAAAAAATGGCTAGCCTCATGATTGTTATTCAAAATTTTTTTGTTGCAACTCTAGTTTGCACACTTACACAATGAAATTATATTAATTGTATTTCTTATGGTTTGTGTCTAGGTGGTCACCCAACCCTCATGCAGTCATGGAGGTAGCTGAATCCAGTCTGTGATTCCTTTATTGTTTAGCACTGTGACTGGTGGTGTGAATGGTGCGCCAGCCCAGGCGTGGAGCCAGCACACGGTGTAAGGGAGGAAAGGAGATGTGTTTCTCCCTCTTTTGCTTTTCTGTTCTTGTGGCTTGCAGCTGGCATGAAATGCTGCCCATCAACCATGACACACTGCCTTGGCCCCCCTGCGTCTGGACTGAAACCTCCAAAAACCGTGAGAAATATACCTTTCCTTTCTTCATGTTGAGCATCAGGTATTTTGCCTGAGCAAATGTAAAGTAAATAAGACACTATCTATAGTGGAAAACGAATAAAATCATGTTTATTCTTAAACTCTTTGATCATTTATATAGTTTTATTCATATAGTTTTATTTATATATATTTTTATTTATATAGTTTTATTTAGTTTTTGAGACAAATTCAGGCTGGCATTGAAGTCAGTATAAAGCCCATGCAGGTCTCAAACTCCCAACAATCCTCCTGCGTCAACCTTCTGAGTACTGGGATTACAAACATGAGCCCCCTCACCCAGCTACAATTTTTGGAGTAAAGAAAAATCAGAGAGTTTGACTGCCACTCTAGGGATGGAAACAGCCAGCATCTCCCGAGATCCGCGCCATGCTGGGACTTAGGATGCTGGGAAACCAAGCAAAGTGCTCGCCTCCCTGGTAGGCCGGCTGAGAATTAAACATCCCATTCCCTCCAACTCTCTTTAGCAAATGGGAGCCAGAGGTCTGAGCATCTCTTGGGAACCTGACCATATGCAATATAGCAAATTTCTTTAAAGGTAAATATTGTTTTCACTGTTTTGCTTGGTTCTGAGTAATTGTATTGCTCTATTCAATATTTTGTATTGATAAGTTCTATAATACTCTGTATTTGGTCTTTTTGTTATACCTGATTGAAAGAACAATTATTGTGAAGATAACGAGATACATTATGGTACCTATTACTGTTATCCTGGTAACCTGCTGTGATGTTCTATACCAATTTCACTGTTTTATTTCAATTGGCTTTGTTCTGTCTTGTTCTGTTGCATTTTACTACCTTCAATATAATAAAATTTAAAAAAGAGAAAGTATGGATGATACATGGTGAACATGAAAAATGTGTAACAATGCAGTTGTACTAGCAATCTCAAAAAAAATTAGAAAATTACCTCAAAATATAAATATGCTTCCAAAATTATTTATGGAAAATACAAACTTTTATTCTGAAAACCATGACATTTTGAAAAATATTTAACCCCAAAATAACTTAAAAGATATCTCATAGTGAAAAGATTTTAAGGTTTATTTTCGCTAAAATGGCAATATTCCTCACGCTTTTCTGCAGAATTAATATGATTTGTGTTCAAATTCCATACATTATTTGATATTAATTTTCATTTGGAAACTTATGAGGATTGGAAAAGCTAAAACTATTCAAGAAAGCCTGAGGTTGAAAGACTCCCCCTTCCTGGTTTTAAAGGTTGCTGCAGGGATTAAGACACTGTAGTACTAACAAAATAAAAGATGTACAATCTGCTATGCCATAACTTATAGTCCGGTGATAAACTCATATTTATTAGGTTCATTTAAAAAATTTTGTATTTGTGTAAAATAAACGTAACATAAATTTATCCTTTTAACCATTTTTAAGTTCATAATTTGATGCTATTAAAAACATCCCCAATTGCAACGACTACCACCTTCAATCTTCAGAATTCTTTTTATCTTTCCACACTGAAGCTCCATAACCATTAAACAGTAACCCACATGCGTCCCTTCCCCAGCCTCTAGAGCGACCGTTTCAATTTCCTGTCTTTTAAAGTTTGACCACTCTAGTTATAGCATATAATTGGAACCAAACACTTTTTGGGTTTAATTTGTGGCAGTTAGCATAACATCTTCAATTTTTATCTATGTTGTACACTGTTAGGACAACCTGTAGTTTTAAGGCTGAATAACATTTCACTGTGTACAACTGAATAATATTCCATTAATGTTTATTAATGAATGATACTCCAGTTGAAGAGAAAGCAGAATTCCAGTCACCATCTTGGAATTAGAGATTGAAACCTCACCAGACGATGAACCTGTGGGTGTACGTTCTTAAAATTTTCATCCTCTAGAGCTATGTCAAAATCCTTTCTTCTTTATAAATTTGTAGGTTTGTGGTACTCTGTTACAGCAGAGAAAATAGACAAAGACAAATGAACACTGAGTTTTCTTCCATTTCTTAAATAATTTAAACATCAATTGCATGAAATCAAATGCATATGATGAGTAGCAAGGTATTATGACTGTTAATTCTCAGGAGCTGGATGGGAGCAAGATTGTGGTAGGGTAAGCAATTTATAACTGATGATATCCTGAAATCTCATAAATATTAGAAACTTGTAAACATTAAAATAAACTTTAAAAGTATTTGGTATAAATATACACATTTTCTCTTCTGTTTTTTAAATGGAAATGGATTTATTTAAGGAAAATTTATAACAGTATGTTGTAGGTTTTGTAACATATGTGGACTAAATATACAGTTATATCTGCTTAATAGAGGGATGAAGAAATAGTGATAAAGTACAAATACCATACTAGAAAACAAATTTTTACTCTTAGGAAAACAGTACAGGACAAATGAAGAATGGACAACACAAAATATTTAGAAAACCAAATGTAAAATTGGAGACACAAATCTCACAACGTCCAAAATAACATTAATTGTGATTGAATTAAAATTCAATCAGAAAGCAAACATTAGTAGGCTAAAGAAAAATAATGCGACTCAACTCTATGCTGTCGGACAACTTCAAGTATTCAATAATGGATGAATCGAATTAAAAATGTGTGTATAAACAATGGAATACTATCCAGCTTTTAAAAATAGTACATTATGTCATTAACAATGAGTCCAGAGAACATTACATTGCATAAAATAAACCAGGTTTAGGAGATAAGCTTTCAAGAAACAAATAGGTTAAAAATATTGGAAGAAATTCCATGCCAAGAGCAATCACAAGAGATACAGTGGCTATGCTAATACCATAAAATATTTTCAGACATGAAATTTCTGTAGGATAAAGCAGGCCTATTATAATGATGAAACATTCAACACAGCAAGAAATTATACTGACTGTAACAATAAGTGACCCCAGAAATAATATCTCTAAGTAGGGAGGAGCTAACATAGATTGAATTCATACAAGAAAGAGAAAATTGAATGACAATATTCAAAGATTTTAACACTGAATTTTCAATATTAAAAAACAATTATGATGAAGATCAACATGGAAATAGAAAACTGGAACAGTAGTATGTACAAAAAATCTATTCGACCTTTGTAGGACTTTTTATCTAAAAATAGCAGGGCAAACATTCTTCTAAAGACCACCACAAACTTCCTCCAGGAGAAACAAAGAGTAGGTTAGAGTACAACTCTCAATAAATGTGAAAGAAAGAAATCATGGAAAGTGTATTCTCTGATATGAGTAGATTGAAATGGAAAGTTATGTAGGATAGAGCATAGCTGGGAAGAAGACAAGAAAGGATGGCAGAGACCAGTTAGTTCACCGCTTGAGACATTCTGTTGGTGGAGATCACGTGTGTTATAATGGTGGCTGGGTAGCTGTAAGAGTGGGATAAAGGTTGCAATATACTTTGGGGTACAATTGACCAAGCCAGATGACTGGGAGTGGGGTTGAGTGAGAGGTGTTAAAACTAAAGTTAACTTCTAGGTTTGAGGAATTAACTGAATTGATGGAATCACCTTACTCAAAAGAGTAAGGACACAGGTGAAGAAGAATATTGGAGTAGATGAGAAAGCCAAGTACAAGTCTGAGATGGCTGTATAACATCCAAATGAGGCTCATAAGTAAAATCACCACTGGAAGATAATCTTAGAATAAAGAAAGCTATGGCTACTTTTCAAGTTCATCCAAGGTAGAATCAATTGATAGAGACTGCTTTCTAACCCAGACAGACTGAATGAGACATTAAATTAATAGCAATTTTTCTTCTTCTCCAGAGACCCCTCCCCCATGAAAGTAGCTCCTGTAAAGTAGACCAGAGGGGTGTGGCCATCACCAGGCAGCATTATTATTTCATTGCTGACTCAACAATAACATGGTGACATAGAGCTGTGCTGCCTGGTTACTGATGTAAAACTGGAAAGAGAGAGGTCTCATCCTCAGATCAACACAGCCTCTGCCAGAGTGAGGTGGTGAGGCTAAGAAGCAGATGAACACCCATAAGGAGTCTAAGGAAAGGGGAGGATGTTTACAGAAAAGTAAAGAGGCAGAGCGTCCCAACAATTTAAAAGAAGAAACATGTCTGCACAGCCACCTAATGAACAGGAAGACGAAGATCATCAAACTAAAAAGGTAATGCCCAAAGAATTTCAAGGGGATTCAATTCGTGGAATCTGGTCACGTTTATGTAATATAGCCGTTCAAGTACAGGATCTAAATATTTGTGCTGATGACTTTGTTGCTGAACTGTCCAAAGAGTTTGATAGTACCTCTTCGACACTGAGGGATTTATGTAAATCATTAGCCCAGTTGATGGGTGTTACCTACAAAGAACCACATTTACAAGCTACAGAGTTAAAGGATGCTTCAGAATCTACTCTTCCTATGGAGCAGGCATACACCTCCCAGGCAGTACCTGTTAAAATGTACAAATTACGTGATGCTTGTCGGACGAATTTACCTCTCACTTTACCTACTTATTATTCCCAAGATGATACAGGTTTAAAGAAATGTTCTGATAATTCATATAGCTTTGGAATTTGTAAAGCGGGTGTTATAACTGAGAGTAAAGAAAAAAAGCAGGAAAAACTGAAGGAGCAGAAGTGCCTGTATCATCCCAATGAACCAGCAAGGGTGCCTCTGTGTCAGTCAGTGCAAAATGATGCTTCAGTGAACTACAGACAAGCTGATTGCGGAGACATCTCTTATTCACTTGTGAATCAACCAGTGGAGTGTTTCTCATTTGGCTCTCCCTTGTTTACTGAAGTAAGTGAGATTTTAAAGAGAGGTGCAGGCAAAGAGTTAGCCAGGCCTCTGAATTCATCAAGGAGTAGAGGTGAAGAGCAGGAAGATACTCTGAAATTTATCCATTATGGGGTTGGGATGGGAGAAAAATTGCAACCCCCGCCTCCAATTCAGCATAAAACACGGGTGTTTGTGAGCCCCACTGCACCGGCAGCACCTCCATTACCTTCTGACTGGTTAGCTCACCTCAGAGAACCAAAGAGGCTAAATACTCCTACACCCTTCCCTTCTCCATCTCAGTCTCCAGCCTCTCTTTTGAGAACTCCAGCTGCATCACATCCTCAATGCCTCCAGAGGACTCCTGAAGCAGGGGTTCCAGTTACTCCACCGAAGGTAGACTTATCTTCACCTTTAACTAAACTTGTTCAACAGTGTGAAATGGTTCCCCATGATCTACTTCCACCAGACGAAGAAACGAACCTATCTCCACCCAAGTTTCCTCCTTCAGTAATCTCATACAGAATTAAAATGAAAGAGAGAGTTACAGATCAAGTTGGCCATGCTTCACATGTACAGTCTGCAGCATTTTTAGGTTTCCTATCAGAACGTTCTTCATTCGCCCAATCACCAAGGCATCGTATTACAAAATTACCAAGATCTTCAGAGCTATCAACACCAAAATCTTTCAGTGTAGCACCATCAAGATATCCAATTTCAGCATCAAAACCATCAGCTGCACCTTTATCAGGACATTCAACTCTAAGGTCATCACAGAGTTCAGCTCCACTGTCATCCTCAGGTCAGCAAGCATCAAGATCTTTAACTCAATCAGTAAATTATGTCAGCGCCCAGTCAGCAAGGCGTCCAGTTGTCCAGTCAAGAAGTGCAGGTGCACAGTTTGCAAGATCCTCAGTTGCTCCAGCAGAAAGATCTTCAGGTGCACAATCAACAAGGCACTTGGTTTCACCACAACAAAGACCATCAAGTCTGAAGTCCACACAAACTTTTACATTTAAGTCACTGTTTTCATCTGCACCACCACCATCATCTTGTGTTTTGCACCCACGAACGCCATCAGTCGCCCAGTCTTCACAAGCACCGGTCAGTTCTGGTATAAAGCTATCCTCATCAGTCCCACCAATAATCAGCAAAGCAAGGATCACCTTGGTGGAAGCAACAAGAAAAGGCATTCTGCCACCCAAAGCTGAGGATCAATGTGTTCAAAACGCCAAAATGCACATTGCAAAAATGAAGCAATTTCCATCCTGATCTACTATAAAGCGATGGGATGCTGGTAAATCAGACACTAAGGTTGGTTGGGTGGCAGGAAATAAGCAGAAAAGAAAATAAATCCAAAGGAAGTAAAAATGGCATTCAATTTTTTATTCCTTTATAAGTCATTACTTATGATTTCTATTTATTTAATTAGACAAAGCTGTTATCCGCTTATTTTCCAAGGGGAACTGCAGCTACATAATGCATGTTAAATATTTTACATTTCTCTTAAACAATATAAATTATTCAACTAAACCAATATTTTAAGTGTTAATGTCATAATCTCCTAACTTTATTTTAAAACATAACTAATATTTAAATTTCAAGAGTGTCTAGCCATCCTATTGTTTTGTGTAAGATGTTGATGTATATATTCAAGCCTCCTGCCTCAATTACAGAAATATACACAGAAAGAACATGAACCATGTGATTCTAACTGTAAGGCAAGTGACAGGAATAATTAGTTTTTCGAGTTTTTTTTTTCTTTTGTGAAAATAAATCAATTTTATTTCCATTTGCTGTTTATGGACAGAATTATTTGTACTATGACATGAATGGTCCTAACAATGAAATTAATTTTAATTCAATAATAAACTTTGTGCGTACTTCTTCAAGTACACCATGCTGAGTTGAATGTGCACACATTCTGGAATGACTCTACGTTAGGCTAATTACCATTTGTGTTACATCACAAACACTTATGGTGTAGCAAACCCTTAAAATTTAGTGCAGTAGCAGTTTTCAAGAGTAAAATACTTTGTCAAATGCAGTGGTAGCATCGTATGATGGAGTCCTTAATATCATGCATACTATTTTACTGAAGTTGTATATCTTTCGACCAAGAGCTCATCAACTCACACCTGCAATCCCATAAGCATCTTCCTGCACAAGTTTTCTGTGAATCTGAAATGTTAAATTTTACATGCAAATATGATTATGCAGTATTTTTCTCTCTGTGTTGGGTTGATTTTACTTGATATAAGATGATGTTTCATGAATGCTGCTACAGATGACAAGTTTTTGCTTGTCAAACTGAACCAGTGGTGTCTCAGTTATAAAACTTTATACTTTCCACAATTGGAGTTTTAAACCAAACTGGAGGAAAACTGAATAAAATTCCATGTTTTATTCAATTTTGACTTATAGAGACATTTAATTCAGTTCTGGTCCAACCTGGTTCACCACTGTAACTTTAGAAAGTAGATCATGAACTGAGATGCCATCGTGTATATATATATATATGTATCACTAGTGTGTATTAATGGATTCAATGAGGGATGATTAGGCCTATTTCATAATATGATTAATGCTATACTAAACCTCTGTATGCATTTATCCCTTCACCTACATAATTTATTTAACATATATGCATATGGTTTGTTGTATATCCCCCAAAGTCCCCCAAAGCCTCATGCATGCATAGGTGGGACTTTTCAGAGCTGGCTTAACCTAAGGCATATCATACTAGGATTAGGGTGTGTGGTATGAAATTAGTCCACTGATTGAAATTAACATAGCTGTAAGTGAGGATAATGAAACTACCCTGAGTGTGTGTGTCACCAATCAAATGACTTATAGCTTGGATGGAAGATCAAAGGAGAGAGGGCAGGCAGACCTGCTGCCGCTGCTGGCTGCCTTCTGCTTGCTACACCATGGGCTGTTTCTCCTCTGTGATGCTGCTCTGCTCTGCTGCCTGCTTTGCAACCAGCCAACTAAGGCCTGAAACCTTTGCAAAGTTTGAGCTGAAATAAACCTCTCCTCTTTTCAGAGATTGGTGCTTTGTCTCAGCAATGAAAAAAGCCACTAAATATATAGATCCTTCTATCTATCTATCTATCTATCTATCTATCTATCCATCTATCTATGTGTCTTTCTATCTATTTTCATTGTTCTTTTTAATTTGGGGGAAGTCCGGGAATGCTTTTTCACTCAGTGACACCAGTTCACATACTAATATATAGTAATCAAGGGTTCCCTGTTCTTCATATTGTCGAAAAATCATTTATCTTCATCTTTTTAGAATATATATTCTAACATGCATCTGTTATATTCAATTATGGTTTTAATTTTCATTTTTATATTACTAGCAATGTGCACCACTATTTTCACATCCAGGTTGGCCATTTGTATGTCTGCTGTGAGAAATCTCTACGTGCATCCTTTGCCTATTTTTATATTAAATTGTGTTTTGTTACTCTTTATGTATTTTAATCTCTTACATATTTTGGATATTAATCCATTTTTAGACATATGATTGGAACACATTTTCTATTACTGTGTGTGTTGTCACTTCACTCTGTTGATTTTTTTACTTGAATATGTGGGAGATTTGTGATCCAATGCTGTATAGTTTTCCCATTGTTGTCTACACCTTTGGATTTTTACCCAAAATACCATTGTTCAGATAAATGTTTTTGAGCTTTTCCAATACTCTTTTTAAAACTACTTTTATAATGTCATGTCTTAAATTAAATGCTTAATGAAGTGTGAGTTAATTTTTTAATATGATATAAGGTTACAGTTTAATTTATTGTTCAGCTTATAGTTATCCAGTTATGCAAATAGTATTTTTTGAAGGCTCTCTTTTCCCCATTATGTGTGGCAACTTTGTTAAAAATCAATTGAACAAAGATGCATAGATTTCTTGGTGACATTTTTATTTTTTTCCATTGATATATTTGTCTAACTCCATACTGTTTTGATTATCATAGCATGTATGTATGTGTGCCTTTATTTATTTATCTATTTTGAAGCAAGGTGTCACAATTCACTTCATGCTGGCCTTGAACTCACTACATATCCCAGGCTGTCCTGAAACTCAGGGCAATCCTCTTGCCTCAGAATAGCAAATGCTAGGATTACAGGCATATGCCACCACACCCATCTGTAAGTGTAACTTTTTCTTTCATTTTGAAGTTATGTATTATTGATCTGTGTACAACTACAATATTAACATGAAATACTCCTTTAAATAGTCCATCTAATCTTTTGAATTACAAAATGTATAATGGATAGACGTACACACATAGTGACTGGTAGAGGTTTATCTACAAAAAATAACACAAAACAAATCTAAAATCAAAGTAAGGTGCAATATATAGACAAATACGATGGATTTTTTTGGAAAAGTTTAAAATTTACAAATTCAAAGAGAAAATTATAGAAAATATGGATAAATACAAAGTAGTACATAAATTCCTCAGCTGAAATTTTAGCTCAATGATTTGCTACAGTGGGTAAGGCCCAGGGTTCAATATCCAAAACTACACACTCACATGCTAAATTCTTACAGAAAAGTTGAAATAAAATTCCATTGTATAAATGGACTTAATATTTGGGCAAAATCATCAACAATATATAAAAAGCCTCAATCTCACTATGTAAAGATATAATACAAATATAAATAAATTGATATCTAGTCAAATAATGTGTAAAAATTGTTGAATTATGCCAGGAAATGTGTGAGGTTATCAGTTTGACTCCTAGTACCAAAGAAAATAATCTATGTTAGTAGGAATGGAGTAAATAGTGAATATTTGCCCATAGATTTGAGAGTGTAGTTGACCTCCCAGGATGTGAATTCCCTTCTATGTTTGAGGGGATTGGTATTTTTACAAGCTTCTGTGGCATGCAGGGTGCCATCTCTTTCTACAGGATCCAAAAAACTGTGTACGACTTACTTCCTGCACTGTGGGAAGGTAGGATACAGGAATGTGTCTAAATGTATCCGGTTTGATGTTCTCCCTTGAGCGATAGAATCAGGAGAGGCGACACCCCGTATGGGCTCTGTGATGTGCCACCATCTCCTGTCATGGAGGAAGTACCCGTTTCTTCCTGCAGCAGAGAGTGGTGCTGCAAGGCAACTCACAGCTGCCAGGCCTCTCCTAGGTTAGCTTGGCTGATGCCTGGGGCTCTGCCCAAGGTCTCTCCCACTTATCAGAGCAGACCCTCATTCAGTTAGTAGTCAGTGTGCCAGTGTAAGCCCAGATCCATTGCTGTACTCCAGATGGCTCTGGGCATCTCAGCTTCACAGTTACCAATAAGTTCAGCTGAGACCTCTAATTGAAATGACTAGCAGCCCTCTTTTCTCACAGCGCCACTCTTCTGTCCCTTCTCTTCCTTTCATATTGACAGCAGTGTCAAAAGCACTTCCAGTACGACATGCATGTTAAGTGTCCCCAAAGGCCCATATGTAAATACATGATCCACAGGGTAGTGGCACTGGGAGATGTTCTGGGGTTTTAGGAGGCAGGACAGTGGAAAATGCTTAGGTCATTGAAGGGATTCCCTCAGGTGGTTTATGGAACTCAGTACTGTGGCTCTCTTTTGTGCTCTTCATGAAATGTGATCTTTGTTCCTACACATGCTCCTATCATAATATGCTATCCCCATCACCCTCAAAGGACTCCAAGCCAAAAGGGCCGTCAAGACTTAATTTTGAACGTTCCAACTTGTCAATCTCTTTACTTACTGAGTGGCCAGTATTGGGTACTTTATTACACTGACAGATCTTAACACAAAATT